GCTCAGGAAATGAAAATGCAACAGCGATCTGACACGCAATGCAGTTGTATTAACTCCCCAACTCTTCCTGGGCCACTTTAAAAAGTTGAGGTTAAAGTTATTTAAAATCTTGTTACAAACTCAAATAACATATAAAGATCAAAATCCATTGAGTTTCTTAGGAAGAAGTCTTATTACAACACATCAACATCGAGTTCAAAGAAAATGTTCTATAATACATCTTCTAAGAAAATCAAAGAGATTGTCAACAGATTTTTTTGAACTTGTTTCAGGTAGCAAACATTTTATGCCAACAAACTATCCAAAATGTTTTTTAAAATATATAAATAGGGCCGAGCATGGTGACTCACACCTGTAATCCCAGCACTTTCGGAGGTCAAGGCCGGAGGATTGCCTGAGCCCAGGAGTTCAAGACCAGCCTGGGCAATGTGGTGAAACCTTATCTCTACAAAAAATACAAAATTAGCCTGAGATGGTGGCATGTGCCTGTAGTCCCTGCTACTTGGGAGGCTGAGGTGGGAGGATTGCTTGAGCCCAGGGGGTGGAGGCTGCAGTGAGCCAAGATGGTGCCACTGTACTCCAGCCTGGGGGACAGAGCGAGACCCTGTCTCAAAAAAATATATAAATGAAAATAAATTACAAATATATATGACTATAGTCTACATTTTAGAGTTTTAAAATTTCTTTTTGAGATAGAGTCTTGCTCTGTTGCCCAGGCTGGAGTGCAGTGGCATGATCTTGGCTCACTGCAACCTCCACCTCCCGAATTCAAGTGATTCTCCTTCCTCAGCCTCTTGAATAGCTGAGGTTACAGGTGCCCACCACCATACCAGGGTAGTTTTTGTATTTTTAGTAGAGATGGGGTTTCACCATGTTGCCCACACTGGTCTTGAACTCCTGACCTCATGTGATCCGCCTGCCTCAGCCTCCCGAAGTGCTGAGATTACAGGTGCGAGACACCGCACCCAGCTACATTTTAGAGTTTTATGTCCTCCAAACTCATCATGTTTTGTGACATATACATTAGATGATTATAAAGATCTTTCAAACATCAGAGTTCCCACTTGCCAAAGTTAGGACAATTTGATGTATTTTGTACATCAAAAAATAATGGATTATAACCTGTTAAATGAAATAAAAAAAAAAAAAAAAAAGCTCTATGAATTCACAGTGATTCAGAAGCATGCCAGCTAATAAATATAGTCAAATGATAGAATTTGAGTTTGTAACTGCCAATGTAATAATTGATTCAGTCTGGTTATTATCAATGATAAAATAATTGAGTGAAAGGATGTTGGGGAATATGATAATTACATGGTTCCAAAGTTGTACCTCACAGATCAATTAATAAATTCAGGCTGGGCACGGTGGCTCACGCCTGTAATCCCAGCACTTTGGGAGGCTGAGGTGGGCGGATCACCTGAGGGAGTTCGAGACCAGCCTTGCTAACATGGTGAAACCCCATCTCTACTAAAAATACAAACATTAACCAGCTGTGGTGGCGCATGCCTGTAATCCCAGCTACTTGGGAGTCTGAGGCAGGAGAATTGCTTGAACCCAGGAGGTGGATGTTGCAGTGAGCCGAGATCGTGCCACTGCACTCCAGCACTCCAGCCTGGGCAATAGAGCGAGACTCCACCTCAAAATAAAAAATTAATAAATTCAAAGGGAAAAATGTATCTTTACCACGGACAGATCTGGTGAATACCCTCTTAACCAAGCAATCACACTTGGCTTCACTAATAGTAAAGCAATGGATGGCCTCCTGTTATAATGCACTAAGAGACACACAACACCTCTATGTAAAATTCTGCTGGGATTGTTTAACCTGCAAATAAACATAAGGGAACAATTAAGGAAATTCAGAATCTGGAAAAATCTGCAAGCTAACTGGCCTGGATTCTCAAAAACTTCAATGTCATGGAAAACACCAACAGGTGGGGATTTTTTGAGACTAAGAGAGACCAAGGAGATAACCAGATACTATATGTAAACCTCGAGTAGATCCTGGATGGGAGGAGGAAAGCCTGCTAGACATTTTTAAGATCACTGGAGATAGTATATTAAATTATCTTCTTGAATTGATGTTAAATCTCTTAGTCTGATTGTAGTGAGTGCTATTGTGGTTATTTACTAGAATGACCTTTTCCTAGGAGATCCATAATGAGATATTTAGGGGTGAGGTGTCATGACAGCTGCATCCTACCTTTAAAAAACTGTGCTGGCCAGGCACGGTGGCTCATGCCTGTCATCCCAGCACTTTGGGAGGCCAAGGCAGGTGGATCATGAGGTCAGGCGTTCGAGACCAGCCTGGCCAACGTAGTGAAACCCTGTCAGGTTGCAGTGAGCCAAGATCGTGCCACTGCACTCCAGCCCAGGTGACAGAGCGAGACTCCATCTCAAAAAACAAAAAAAGTGTGCTGTGTGTGTGCACATGTGTGTAGCAGAAAATGTAGTGAAATGTTAATGATTGGTAAATATATGTAAAAGGTTTAGGATGTTTATTGAACTATTATTCCAGCTTGTTTGGAAGCGTAAAACTTTCCAAAAAGAGAAACTTCATACTATGCCTTGGAATTTTATTGTAACTGTTATTCTTCTGGGAGATATTAAGACGTACTAGCTAGACATTCTGACACAAGCTCTAAGTGTCACATAAGCATTATTCAGTAAAGATTATTTGAGTGTGGCCTACTACAAGCCACACTCAAATTTTTAGGCAATTAGGATACTTGAATGAACAAAACAGAGATCTCTGGTCCCGTGAGGCCTATATCCTGGTGGGGAGAGACAGACAGATACAATAAACATAATAAGTAAATAAATTGTGGGAAAAAACAGTCGAGTAGGAGTTAGGGGACAATTTGGGAAATACTAAAGTGGAGACTTAGGTAAATAAATGAAAGAAGCTCAGAGATTGATTTGGGGGATATTGAGATAATGTCCAAATTTTCTCTTATTTTAGGATACGCTGGTTTGGTTTCACCTGAAGAGTACTGCACCTTTTAATCACACAAAGCCATTTCAAGTATTCCTAGTTAGTGTTCACAATTGGTGTGCGTTTCAGGCACGCCAATTCTGAATCCTCACTAGGAATACACTGGTTCTCTTTTATCTTTTACTGAATCCCAACTAGGGTGACCAGGTCTCCTGGTTTGCCCAGGACTAAGGGGTTTCCCATGATATGGGACTTTCAGTGTTAAAATTGGGATAGTCCTGGGTGAACTGGGATGGGTTGGTCACCTTAATACTGCCACTTGCCACTTGTGTGACTTTGAGTAAATCATTTAGCTTCCAAGAGTCCTGATTGCCTCATCTATAAAAAGGACATTATACATACACACATATATATATGCTTCAACATGGATGAATCTTGGAAATATTATGCTAAGTGAAAGAAGCTAGACACAAAAGGTCACATATTCTTTTTTTAAAAAAATTATTATTATTTTTTTTGAGACGGAGTCTTACTCTGTCACCCAGGCTGGAATACAATGGCATGATCTCGGCTCACTGCAACCTCTGCCTCCTGGGTTCAAGCGATTCTCCTGCCTCAGCCTCCTGAGTAGCTGGGACTACAGGCACGTGCCACCACACCCTGCTAATTTTTGTATTTTTAGTAGAGATGGGGTTTTGCCATATTGGCCAGGCTGGTCTCAAACTCCTGACCTCAGGTGATCCACTAGCCTCGGCCTCCCAAAGTGCTGGTATTACAGGCGTGAGCCACCACGCCTGGCCAAAAGGTCACATATTTTATGACTCCATTTCTCTGAAATGTCTGGAATAGGCAAATCTGTTGGGAACAAGCCCCCCAAATCTGGCCATAAACTGTCCCCAAAACTGGCCATAAACAAAATCTCTGCAGCACTGTGACATGTTCATGATGGCCGTAACGCCCATGCTGGAAGGTTGTGGGTTTACCAGAATGAGGTCGAGGAACACCTGGCCTGCCCAGCGTGGAAAACTGCTTAAAGGCATTCTTAAGCCACAAACAATAGCATGAGCCATCTGTGCCTTAAGGACATGCTCCTGCTGCAGTTAACTAGCCCAACCTATTCCTTTAATTCGGCCCATCCCTTCGTTTCCCATAAGGGATACTTTTAGTTAATCGAATATTTATAGAAGCAATGCTAATGACTGGCTTGCTGTTAATAAATACGTGGGTAAATCTCCGTTTGGGGCTCTCAGCTCTGAAGGCTGTGAGACCCCTGATTTCCCACTTCACACCTCCGTATTGTGTGTGTGTCTTTAATTCCTCTAGCGCCGCTGGGTTAGGGTTTCCCCGACTGTGCTGGTGTTGGCGCAAATCCATAAAGACAGAAAATAGATGAGTGATTGCCAGGTCATGCGGGAAGTGGGGAATGGGAATTGACTGCCTCAGGGGTATGGGGAATTTTTTTTTTTTTGCAGGGGTGGGTGAGGAAAATGATCTAGAATTAGATAATAATGGTTGCACAACGTGGTAAATATATTAAAAACCACTGAATTGTACATTTCAAGAGGGGTATTTCATGGTAAATGAATTCTATCTCAATGAAGTTCTTATTTAAAAAAATACAATAACATGGAGTGACCATACGGTATGGTTTGGATGTTTTGTCCTCTCTAAATCTCACGTTGAAATGTGACCTCCAATGTTGGGAGGTGATTGGAAGGCCCTCCTTAACTGGAGGTGTTTGGGTCATGGGGTCAGATCCTTCATGAATGGCCTGGTGCTGTTTTCACAGTAATGAGCGAGTTCTCACTCTATGAGTTCACTCAAGATCTGGTTGTTTGGGGGAGCATGGCACTTCTCCAGCCCTTGCTTCTTCTTTCACTGCATGACGTGCCTGCTCCTCCTTCACCCCTGCCATGATCATAAGCTCCCTGAGGCCCTCGCCAGCTTCGGCACCATGCTTCCTGTACAGCATGCAGGACGATGAGCCAAAATAAACCCTTTTTCTTTATAAATTACCCAGCCACAGTTATTTCTTTATAGCAATACAAACGGACTAACATACCATGTAATTCAGCACTTCCACTCCTGGATATATACCTGAAAAAGAAATAAAAACTTGCCCACACAAAAACTTGACATGGATGTTCATAGCAGCATTATTATTATTATTTATTTGAGACAATGTCTTGCTCTGTCGTCCAGGCCGGAGTGCAGTGGTGCAACTGTGGCTTACTGCAGTCTTGACTGACCTCCTGGGTTCAAACAATCCTCCCACCTCAGCCTCCCAAGTAGCTGAGAATACAGGCCCGCATCATTGAGTCCAACTAATTTTCTTTTTTTGGAGACAGAGTCTCACTCTGTCACCCAGGCTGGAGTGCAGTGGCATGATCTCGGCTCACTGCAACCTCCGCCTCCCAGGTTCGAGTGATTCTCCTGCCTCAGCCTCCCAAGTAGCTGGGACTACAGGTGTGCACCAGCACACCAGGCTCATATTTGTATTTTTAGGAGAGATGGGGTTTCATCATGTTGGTGAGGCTGGTCTCAACCCCCTGACCTCAGGTGATCCACCCGCCTTGGCCTCCCAAAGTGCTGGGATTACAGGTGCCAGCCACCGTGCCCGGCCCCAAGCCTGACTAATTTTTTATTTTTTATAGAGATGGAGTCTCATTATATTGCCTTGGCTGGTCTCAAACTCTTGGACTCAAGCAGTCCTCCTGTTTCAGCCTCCCAAAGTGCTGGGATTACAGGCATGAGCCATTGTGCCTGGCTGCGGCATTATTTTTAATAGTCAAAAAGTGGAAACAACCCAAATGTTCATCAGCTGGTGAATGGATACATAAAATGCAGTATATCCATGCAGTGGAATATTATTTGGTAACAAAAAGAAATAGAATACTGATGCTACAACATGGATGAACCTTGAAAATATTATGCTAAATGAAAGAAGACAGTCACAAAAGAATATTGTGTCATTCCACTTATATGAAATGTCCAGAACAGGCAAATCCATGGAGACAGAAAGTAGATGAGTGGTTTCCAGGGAGTGGGAGAAATGAAGGAAAATGGGTGTGACTGCTAATGGGTATGGGGTTGCTTTTGGGAGTGATAAAATGCTCTAAAATGTATCGTGGTACTGGTTGCACACACTGCGCCTGGCAATGACGACAGAAACTTTCTAATTCATCCAGGGATAGCCCGGTGTGGTGATGCACGCCTATAGTCCCAGCTACATGGGAGGCTGAGGTGGGAGGATCGCTTGAGCCCAGAAGTTAGAGACTGCAGTGAACTATGATCATGTCACTGCACGCCAGCCTGGGTGACAGACTGAGACCCAGTCCCTAAAAATAATAGTAATAATAGGCTGGGTGTGGTGGCTCACACCTGTAATCCCAGCACTTTAGGAGGCCGAGGTGGGTGGATCATGAGGTCAGGAGATTGAGACCATCCTGGCTAACACAGTGAAACTCCGTCTCTACTAAAAATACAAAAAATTAGCCAGGTGTGGTGGCAGGTGCCTGTAGTTCCAGCTACTCAGGAGGCTGAGGCAGGAGAATGGCATGAACCTGGGAGGCGGAGCTTGCAGTGAGCCGAGATTGCGCCACTGCACTCCAGCCTGGGTGACAGAACGAGACTCTGTTTCCAAATAAATAAATAAATTAATTAAATAATAGTAATAATAAAAATCAAAAATAGGCCAGGCACTGTGGCTCATGTCTGTAATACCAGCATTTTGAGAGGCCAAGGAGGGAGGACTGTTTGAGGCCATGAGTTTGAGACCAATCTGGGCAGCATAGCAAAACCCCATCTCTACAAAAAAAAAAAAAATATATATATATATATACACACACACACACACACACACACACACACACACACACATTTCACACAGGGCCAACTTTCCGATCATGTAAGCTGTGCAGTCTCACAAGACCCTATGAGCAGAAGAACCCCACACTTGGTTCAATGCCCTGCTGTCACTGTCTTGAAATTTTTAATACTACGGTGTCTGAATAAAATCTAGGTGCCCCTCATTTTCATTCTGCACTGGGCCCTGCAAAAAATGGTGTAGGTGTCCTGAATGCACCTTTGTACCCCCATCACTTAGCATAGTACTCATGCATGGTGGGTGCTCGATAAATATGAGTTGCTTTTCCCAGTCCCAGTACCCTGAGAACAGCCCAATGACCTTCCACACAGATTTACCTAGAGCTTCATACCTGCCAGGGACTGCGTTAGCAGCTGGGATATAGGGGGAGCCAAAGCAAGCAGCTGAGACTCTCTTTCCTCATCACTGCAGGGGAAGCATTGAGGAGGATGCTGTTCACGAAGCCAGACATGCCTACCTAACTACTATCTCCAGCAGCAATTACAGCATCTGACTCATTTGTACTTTTAGAGAAAAACGCATCACCTTGGAATCCCGATCTTGTGAGTTCTTCTTTGTTACAGGAAACAGAAGGCTCTGATGAATTAGGATGGGACTTTAGTTCTTTTCCATGGTGTGAATTTTTCAATGTGCTTGTGAACGATCACATTGTCATCTATAATTAAAGAGATCTGTCAGCATCTTTTAATTCAATTTAGTTTCTTTTCTGGTTTTTTTTTTTTTTTTTTTGAGACGAAGTCTCGCTCTTGTCCCCCAGGCTGGAGTGTGATGGTGCAATCTCAGTTCACTGCAACCTCTGCCTCCCGGGTTCAAGCGATTCTCCTGCCTCAGCTTCCCGAGTAGCTGGGATTACAGGCATGTGCCACCGTGCCCGGCTAATTTTTGTATTTTTAGTAGAGACGGGGTTTCACCATGTTGGCCAGGCTGGTCTAGAACTCCTGACCTCAGGTGATCCACCCTCCTCGGCCTCCCAAAATGTTGGGATTACAGGCGTGAGCCATCACGCCTGGCCAGTTTCCTTTTTTTCATACTATTTAAGCTACCAAAAAGTTGTTTATTTTTTTGAGACAGGGTCTTGCTCAGTTGCCTAAGCTTCAATTCAGTTTCTATGTAGAAAACACTTTGTTAGGTACAAAGACAGTAGCTGGGATTTTATTTTTCTTTTTTTTTAGACTGGGTCTCGTTCTGTCACCCAGTCTGGAGTGCAGTGACGCAATCGGTGGCTCACTGCAGCCTCAACCTCCTGGGCTTAAGCTATCCTCCCACTTCAGCCTCCATAGTAGCTAGGGCTACAGGCACACACCACCACGCCTAGCTAATGTTTTATTTTTGTAGAGACAGGGTCTTGCTATGTTGCCCAGGTTGGTCTTGAACTTCTGGCCTCAAGTGATCCTCCTGCCTTGGCCTCCCAAAGTGCTGGGATTATAGGTGTGAGCTACTGTGCCCAGCCTGTGCTGGATATTTCTTTTTTTATTCTTTTCTTTTCTTTTCTTTTTTTTGAGGCAGAGTCTTCCTCTGTTGCCCAGGCTGGACTGCAGTGGCACAATTTTGGCTCACGGCAACCTCTGCCTCTGGGTTCAAATGATTCTCATACCTCAGCCTCCCAAGGAGCTGGGACTACAGACGGACACCACCACGCCTGGCTAATTTTTGTATTTTAGTAGAGACGGGGTTTCACCATGTTGGCTAGGTTGGTCTCGAACACCTAACCTCAAGTGATCCACCCAGCTCAGCTTCCCAAAGTGCTGGAATTACAGGTATGAGCCACCACACCCAGCATCAATGGCTGGATATTTCTAAGCTGGATCACATGAGCTGTTTTGACAGAGATTATGGTGAGTTACAACTTCATGAGGAGTTAGCAGAGAGAGCAATAAAATTCCTAATAGACCTGGCTTCCGCTTGCTACATTTTTTTTCCTTTTCTTTTTTTTTTTGGAGATGGAGTCTTGCTTTATCGCCTAGGCTGGAGTGCAGTGTTGTGATCTCAGCTCACTGCAAACTCCGCCTCCTGGGTTCACGCCATTCTCCTGCCTCAGCCTCCCAAGTAGTTGGGACTACAGGCACCCACGACCTCACCCGGCTAATTTTTTGGTATTTTTTTAGTAGAGACGGGGTTTCATTGTGTTAACCAGGATGGTCTTGATCTCCTGACCTCGTGATCTGCCCGTCTTGGCCTCCCAAAGTGCTGGGATTACAGGCGTGAAGCACCGCGCCTGGCCTTTTTTTCTTTTTTTTTTCTTTCTTTTTTTTTTTCTTTCTTTTTTTTTTAAGAGACAGGTTGTCACTATGTTGCCTAAGATGTACTCAAATTCCTGGGTTCAAGAGATCATCCTCCTCAGCCTCCAGAGTAGCTGTGACTACAGGCACGAGCCACCACTCCCTGCTAAATGTGCTTTTCTAGCGGCAAGACCCAGGGGACAATTCCTTAATCTCTCTAAAGTTTAGTTGTTTATCAGTTAACACAACCCTGGTGTCACAAGGGCTATTGTAAAGATTACATGAGATAAGGCACGTATCACTCTTAGCACAGTGTCTGGCTCTTAGTGAGAATGTCACAACAGAAACAGAACCTAGACCAGGCATGGTGGCTCACGCCTGTAATCCCACCACTTTGGGAGATCGAGGTGGGCGGATCACCTGAGGTCAGGAGTTCGAGACCAGCCTGGCCAACGTGGTGAAACCCCATCTCTACTAAAAATACAAAAATTAGCTAGGCGTGGTGGCAGTCGCCTGTAATCCCAGCTACTCGGGAGGCTGAGGCAGGAGAATTGCTTGAACTTGGGAGGCGGAGGTTGCACTGAGCCAAGATTGTGCCATTGCACTCCAGCCTGGGTGACAAGAGTGAAACTCCGTCTCAAAAAAAAAAAAAAAAAAAAAAAAAAAAGAAAAGAAACAGAATCTAAAACATTTGGTAAAACTGGGCTGTTTTGCATCATCATGACTCAATAGTACTGTTCCTGGCACACAGCTGCATATCGTAAAATAGCTCTGCCTGCAAATTCAATTTTTCCAGCTAGAGGCGAAGGCAAACAATTCCAGCCAACATCACCTAACACTGTGAATACAGTGAGGTCCCTTTCTTCTCTCTCAGCCTTGGTGGTGACGCCTCTCCCTGCCCCCACTCTCCTAGGCGTGCAGTGAGCTTTGCTCTTTGGGGAGGCTAAGCAGGGGGATTGGGATGCCTGCAGCTGCTGGCAGGAGTGCTAGGGAGAGGGACTTTGACCTGTCCTGGCGTCTTTAGTTTCAGGGAGCCCACTCCTTTCTAACATGGTTTGCCCATTGAGCACTTACGAACTTGTGCCCTGGAAATAGACAGGACTGGGTTTGAATTCCAGCTGCATGACGTACATTCTGAGTCATCTCTATTTAGTGACCTGTGTAATGAATATTTCCTACCTGTCTTGGTTCAGGCTGCTATGGAAACTACCATAGACTCGGTGGCTTAGAAGCAACAGTGTTATTTCTCACAGTTCTGGAGGCGAGAAGTCTGAGATCAGGGTACCAGCAGGGTCAGGCTCTGGGCAGGGCCCTCTTCTGGGTTGCAGCCTGCTGACCTCTGCTTGTGTCCTCATATGGCAGAAAGAGGGCTGGAGAGATCTCTGGGTCTCTTTGCTAAGGGCACTAATCTCATTCATGATGAGGTAATCTCACTACCCTCATCACCCAATCACCTCCAAAAGGCCCTCCTCCTAATACCATCACATTGGGGGTTTAGAGTTCGACATATGAATTTTGAGGAGACACAAACATTCAGTCTCTTAACACTTGCTGGATTAATGAGATAATGTACCTGTAGTACCCAGCACATACAAATAACTCAATAAATACTTCTTTTCCTCTTCCTCCTCATTATTATTTATTCTGCATATCTCTATCTGAGCAAATACTGGGTTTCTTCTCTTTAACTCCTGTTCCAGTAATCTATATAGACATTCTACTTTCCAGGGTTATTTTGCTTAGTATTTAATGATATTCCCATCCTATATCCATTTTCTTAAGTTCCCACTCTAGTACAAAAATGATGAAGTGAATCTCCTTTGTTAATAAATTTTAATGTCATTAAAATATATATAGGCCAGTCTTGGTGGTTCATGCCTGTAATCCCAGCACTTTACGAGGCAGAGGCAGGTGAATTGCTTGAGGTCAGGAGTTTGAGACCAGCCTGAGCAACATGGTAAAACCCTGTCTCTACTAAAAATACAAAAATTAGCTGGGCATGGTGGCATGCACCTGTAATCCCAGCTACTCAGGAGGCTGAGATTGGTGGATCCCTTAAGCCCAGGGAGGTCCAGGCTGCAGTAAGCTGTGATCATGCCACTGCACTCCAGCCTGGGCAACAGAGTGAGACCCTGTCTCACACATACACACACATAAAAATAAATTAAAAAACACTTGTTCACCAGCAGATCTTCTCTATAGCTGGCTTCCAATTCTGAAGGGTATCTTTTAACACTAAGTAGGCCGGGCGCGGTGGCTCAAGCCTGTAATCCCAGCACTTTGGGAGGCCGAGGCGGGCGGATCACGAGGTCAGGAGATCGAGACCATCCTGGCTAACATGGTGAAACCCCGTCTCTACTAAAAAAATACAAAAAACTAGCTGGGCGAGGTGGCGGGCGCCTGTAGTCCCAGCTACTCGAGAGGCTGAGGCAGGAGAATGGCGTAAACCCGGGAGGCGGAGCTTGCAGTGAGCTGAGATCCAGCCACTGCACTCCAGCCCGGGTGACAGAGCGAGACTCCGTCTCAAAACAAAACAAAACAAAACAAAACAAAAAAAACACTAAGTAATGGTGAGGAGATTAAAATCACTTGTCCCACTCACAAGAGAAACTGTTTTCCAAGATCATCCCAGTTTCATTTATCCAGGAAGTGGAAACTGTGTCGGCTGAGAATATCCTAGCACTATTTAGGGGTATCCTTGAGATCTTCTAGATGGTCAAGATTAACCCTAAAGGCAGCATCCACTGTTTTCAAGTCACTGTGCCCTATCAAACAAACACGGATCTTAACCTGAAGGAGTTTAAAATGTTACAGGGGAGATAAGATATGTATATAAAGAAACATAATATGGAAAGTAGTGAGTATTATAAGGCACATACAGAAAAAGTACAATTGAAGTTCAAGAAAAGATTGATTTTTGACTTGGAAAGTTGGGAAAGGCCTTGTGGAAAAGGTAGTCCTCACACTTGGGACTGGAGAGACTGGAGGAAAAAATTGGATGTGCAGAAATAAGTGTCAAAGGAAGGAAAAATTACTACTTGTATTAAAAAAAATTGATGGCAACAGTTTTCACATTATGAGGGATGCTACAGAATTCCTCCTGTTGTAGGAGAAATCATGGATGGGTCTTTTGGTTTTGAAAAGCAAGCCCTAGGGAAGAGAGGGAAAGTAGAAGTCTAGAGGAAGCTGAATTCCTCTGGAGAAGCCAATGAATCTGTCTTTCTTGAGACAGATGTTGTTGCAATGTAAAATGATATTTATGTCCTTTGGGCGGGCCTCAGAACAGAAGTTCAGGAGGCTTAGAACTGAAAGGAGGAAGGAGGCAATGAAATTCTATGAAAAAAGAGAAGTCAGCAAAGGGCAACCTGTTGTGGGTCAAGAAGAGCGGGCCAGCTACTAAATTCCCCATGGCAGGAGGAGCCAACGACTTCAGCAA